CCTGATTGCAACTGTGACTGGGGACCTCCTGCACACCTGCTTGCGACGCCTGATTGCAACTGTGACTGGGGACCTCCTGCATTTCCATGAACTCAACATCACCTGAGTCCTGAGTCAAAAGCTTCGAAATTTTCAAACTGCCAGCACACCCCCCCCCCGCTACCAACTATGGTCTCGGGCACGCGAAGTTTGAACGACGAGGACCCTGTCCAAGCCTGCTTAGAGGCCCTGCCACGTCCTCCACGCCACAGGTGTGTAGTGCGAACTGGCTCACCACACAGGTACTGCTGCACACAGTACCGCACATCACCGATGCACCCTAGTTCAACAGGCAACCATTCCTTATGCGACGGCGCAAACATCTGGCGTCTAGGAACCGGATGATACCGGGTCAAAACTTGAGCTTTGCTGCTATAACCCCAGAACTCGTCCTTATTGGCTGGCAGCAGAGTGAAACCGGTTTCCCACAACCACTGCCTATCCACAGTCTGAAGCTTATGCAAGCTACGTGGCGTGTAGCCGACCAACAACAGCTGCTGGCCCTTTGCTGCGACCGACTCATGCCAAAGATTTGGACTAAACTTCACAACCTCATGCGCCCTATACTTATGAACACCACCCAACAGAGTTTTCCCTTGAGGTGTGCGAGTCTCAACACTTACAGCACCGTCACCACCAGTGACAGAATTGGCCTCAGCTTGCTGCACCCACAGCCCTCCCCCGGATGTAACCACAGGAAGTATTAGATTTGGGACTCCCTTCTGATTATGCAAGTCACGATGCAACTCATGCTCGGTGTTCAGGATCAACCCTACACCTGCGTATAGTCCGTCTGTGTGCTCGCTCAGATAGGCCGTAAGATAACGTGTAACCCACGGGTGATCCCTGGTATTTCCTCTCAACCCAGTCATTCCCCCATACGAGAAGGCTCCCGTGAGGAAATTGCACGTCCTCAAAGAACCTGTAACGGTCTGTCCCCGCACCATTCGCGAACTGTTCTGGGACAGTTGTGACAAGCCCACAGCGAGCTCAGCTAAATCCCTAGGTCGAAAGCTTCCCTTTTCATACAGTTCCTTTGCAAGCCTATCAACTTTATGCATCGGCTCAGGACATTGAGGAACCTGAAGTTGCCTAAGAGAGCTTTTACCTGTTATTCTGTGATCGGGAGCATCTAAATCAACAGCAACTCCAGTGCTGCTGAACGCGACCTTCCCCTGATCAACAGAAGGAAACAGCTTCCCCGTCGTGAGCAACTTTCCATCCTCAGTGGCCACAACCCAGCCTCTTGACATGTCAGCAGAAGGGCACTTCACGTAAGCTGACACCGTCCTAGGCTCCCAGGTCTCACGTTTCCAGCTTCTGCTTATAACCTGAACACGGGTGTCATAGGGAAGAGAAGGAGAAACCTGAATCTTAAGTCGTCGCCTTGCCTCGTTCTTCAACTCATGTGCTGCAAGCTTTGCAGCCAGAAGCCAATCTGACTTATCTGGACCTGCCTCCTCCAAAATCACTCTAGTTTTGTTCTTGACCCTCATGATTGCACCCTCTGCTCGGCCATTCCCTTGGTGTTCTTCTGCAACAGCCAAAGTCTTATGCACGGAGTGTCTGGCACACCAGTCGCGAAGCGACTTATTATTGTATTCTCGGCCCCTATCAGAGTGAAGTCTCCTAATGTCAAAACCCTCTGCCTTAGCTCTGGCATGCATTCTGCCAACAGCAGTAAGAACTTCACTGTGCGTCTTGCGCTCGATAGCCTCAACATAGACAAAGTCTACAATCTCTACCTTGGGCAAGGTCTCAGCCTGGGCTTCATTAATCCATTCTTCACGACTCGACTTCACCAGGCGATCCCACTCGTTCCATGCAGCCCGTGCATCAGCTGTTTCCTTGGCAGTCCACTCAGGAAGAGGTTCATCCGCGTCTCCAACCTTATCAGCCAACCATTCAGCATCATCAAGCACGCCTCCATCTGGCACCTCAGGACCTGGGTCTGCGTCACACGGCTCATCGACGCACTTACCATCAACGGCCAACACTGGCACCGACAGCACACCAACTATCAGATATCGGGCCTTTGGGGTATGCTCGTCCCGTCCTCTGACAAATGGTCCTGCCGTGTCGACAGACAAACACCATGACTGAGGTGTAAGCACCCTCCGATGCTGCTTTCTTCGAGCTGAACCCTTCAAGCAAGTCACGCAGTCGTTCCTGTAAGGCATGTGGTTCTGTTGCAGATGATGCAAAAACCCAGGATCTATCTTCCGAAGGTCTCCGCCAACCGAAACTTCCCGTCTCATCTCTGCAAACTTCCTATGAAGCATACTGCTCAATGCCTGAGCTAGACCCGGGGCCCACTCCGTCCAGAGCTCAGCCCTGACTCCAAAATCCTGCACATGAACATACTCTAGGAGTTTAGACTGGACTCCACATTCTACAAGCATTGGATCAAGATCTACATTCGTTCCCACACTGGTAGGGCGGCGTTTGCAGTGCCCCATCGGACTCTGGAAGAACTTTGCCGAAGTCAAGCCAACGCTCTGGGAGACCATACGCCACTCTGGAGTGTTCCACAAGGAAATCCGGTTCTGCTCACTTTCAAGACCATCAGCAACCCCAACCTCACTTTCCGAACAAGGATTTTCCACAACACATGCTGGATCCGGTATCCCCTGGACCTTGTTCACTTCTGCAGCAAGCACAATCAACACCATAAAGCGAAGAATGAGGACGTCATCCACATTCCGCTGCGCGCGCTCTTGGCAAGTCAGATCTGGAACCCCAAAGGCACCTATGCTTTCACCTGCCACACGAACTGGCCTGGGACCTTGACCTGTACTTTCGTGCAGTGTTCTGGCTTGGGAGAATGTCCTGTTGGGCGGTGCCCCAACTATTGCCCTCACCCGTCCATCTCTGGCCTGCTGAAGCAAATACCTGTATGTGCTATCACACAGCAAGTCCCTGGAGTCATCCAGAGTGAGGTGAGCAATATCCCACTTGCGCGCCACTGCCTCAAATACCCTCTTAGAAGTCCCGCAGAAGGCATGAAGCATCAATCCCTGGGCCTTAGCGCAGCTCCTCCTGGTGCGCCTATTCCAGGTCAGTGGTTCCTCTGAAGTATCCTGCAGAGTCACAATGCACTGCTCCAAGGTCTCAGAACAGACCTCAGGAAACATTCTGGCAACATACACACTAAAAGCTGCATCTGCTTGGGAGTCCCCATGTCTCATCAGGCTCACCAATTCTTGGGTCCCCTTTGACTTAAGATCTTCCACAATGCACCTGAGCCGAGCAGTTCTGGTGTCGTGCTGCCCAACATACATCTCATACTGACCTATTAAATCAAGTGCCACTTCTTCATCAACCTCTGGGCAGCCAGTGCTTGTATCAACCTCCAACTCCCCAAACTTAGGATGATACACTTTGCAGCGTGAAGCATTCCAGTCAATTTTGTAGCCGAGCCGCAATAACGCCTTCACGGACAAGATGGGCGACACCGGCACTTCACTCAACAACGTCCCGTACTGGTTAATATGGAGGTCACAACTCCCACATGCCAGTTTGACCGGAATTGTTGGCAACGACTTCTCCTCCTCAAGAGCCGTCCTAAGACAAGCCGTGGCGCCTCCATCTATCAGCCCTCGCCTGCCATTGACTCCTGTCCTATTCAAGACTTCAGAAGCACTTTTAAGGTCACACTGAACCGAAGACAAACGAAGACTCTGAAGAATTTGTGCTGCCTCACGGATTGCTGCCTCAGAGATGCTGCCCTGTGCACCTCCCCCTTTTGTCCCGCCTTTTCCAGCGGCAGCAGTCGCCTTGGCTTGACCTCTTCCTGCATTGGCCTTCCCCTTTTCATCCTTTCCTTTACCTCCTCTATCGGCACCGGCATCAGGACCCGAACCGTCACCTTTAGGAGCCTTACCTCCCCCAGGAGCCTTGCATTCATGTTTCTGGTGCTGCCCTCCGCACACCCAACACCGACCTGGCTTCTCTGGAGTGTGTGCCATTGCACACAGCTTCCCTTGCGGGCACCCAGTGTCAGTTGACCATGCTGGACAAGGCTTCCGGTGCTCACGCGTTCCTCGGCCATTTCCTGTCCCGCTCGATGAAACAGCCTCTTCACCCTTGGCACCCTTCTTCCCTTTCCCCTTGTCACCCCCGGTCTCCTGACCCACAGCAGCGATACGCTGACGCTTGGCACCAGCATCTGGAGCTGAAACGGCCAACAGCTCCATCTCAGCCAGAAGGGTACGTGTGTATTCCTCTACTGTCTCCTGTGTTGGCGTGGTGTCTAGCTGAAGCTGCATGCGGATTGCCTGAATGCGAAACATGAGGTTTGGATTCGCCTGAAGAACTCCTTTCATGCACTTATCAACCCCATCCAACAGGAGAGAGCTATCTGGCACACTAATGCCCATTGTCCGAGCCCTTTCTAAATGTCTGAACCACTTCTGCAGTGCTGCCACAGCTCCTGGGGCTGCATCACACAAAGGCAGGCCAGTAAGGCCTCTCAAGAGCTCTGACCTCTCAGACAAACCACCAGGTTGATACATCCTCATAGCCAAGAACACAAGACATGTGCACGTCACGCACCTGAGACTCAACGCTTGGTCATACAACGCCGTTGGAAGGGCCTTCGTAAGCATTGCCACTCCTCTTGCCTCTATCCGAACAAACCTTTCCATTTGCAGGACTGCACTTGGTCTGCACACCAGTTTGGACCGCTCAAGAGGCTTGGCCTTACACCATTTCTCATACTCACTTCTAGCTTCTGCAAGAACACGCTGCCACCATTCATGACCCCGTGGCGCTAAATCATTAAAGAAAGGTGTAACCTTGTGGACCCAATCACTAAACCTCATCGCCGGATTGGCTTCCGACACTGGGCTCAAGACTGGCAACTCCCAAAGAGTGCGTTCTCCCGGTCTGAAATCCTTAGACTCCCCCTGATCCAAAGCCTGACGTACTTCCATATCATCAACACTAATTGATGCCAGAACCGGATTCGCTCTCTCGGCCTGAGGGCTCACTGGAGGTGGAGCCTTAGGAAGTCTGGTACCTCCTGGAGTTGCTGGTGAGGCATTCACCTGAACTCGAGTCGGCACAGGTGCTCTTGGAGGGCTAGGATTAGGGGACCGACTGTACCTCCTAGCATACCCTTGTCGAGCAGGACCTGGGGATCTACTGCTTACTCGATTATCACTACGTGCCTCAGTCCAGGGTGCATCTGGAGGCAACGGAGGAGGGGGAGGGATGGATGACTCCCTTATCCCATGTGGTGCAGGGGCCCTAAAAGGTGATTGCATTCTTCCGGCAAAGGGATTGCCTGGCGGCAACGCTGCAGCTGCAGTGGTCTGCGCCGACCCTTGCAGTTCCATAGATCCATCCCTTATTGCGAAGTACTTAGGTGACTCTGACTGAATAACAACCTCACCCTTTTCATTAAAGACACCCATACGGGAAACCCCATTTATCATCACAGTGACGGTCTGCGACTGACCTGGATGGGCAACGCTACACCCAGGATTGTTGACCTGAGAAACACAGGGCACCTCAGTCCGCCCATGCTCAGATATGCGATCAAACACAGGCATTCCAGCAACACTTGTCACTTTTGGAACTGGCCAGGGGACTGAACCCCCATCCATATCTACATCAGGGGCTACTGCAACCTGGGAATCCGACAAGTACAGTCTCTGCATAGCCCTGGTGGCCGCAAGAAACCTGTCGCCTGGGCCTTCTGTCGGCAATGAAGGTGCAACTGCATCGTCTGGCTGGGCGAAGCTTGTCCATGCTGGCATAAAGGTTCTCAAGGTAGGGGCCCTATCATCATCACCACTAGAACCTACACCCTTACCAGTCCTAACACGAAGTTCCCCTGACGTTCTCAGACTTCTGCACTCCGATTGGCTCCTACTATCATTCGGCAGCCTAATCCTACTATGTACAGAGTCTCCACGAACTACTCCGCGCTCAGACCAGTCTGCTTGACCCGCCTGTCTTTCCCTTTTCAACTCGTCATTCTGTTGCAGCAACTGTTGCACCAGAGATTCCAGCTGATCTACACGATTCGCTTGAACAGTCTCCTGAGCCTCAGTCGACGAGAGCCTTGTCGAGGACTTGCCAGGGCCATGCAATCCCGAAGATTCTCGAGCTCGACCAGTCATGAGAGCCCTCTCCGATGGAGCCTGCATGGAGAAACCAGCCTCCTCCCATCCAGTTAAAGATGAAACAGCTCCCCGGCCCTTCCCAGGACCGGCAGTCCCATTCATCTGACCACCGACTTGACCTTGGCGAATCGCCTGTCCTTCAATCACTCCAGAACTACTCATTCCAGAATCCTGCAGCCTCCGGCTTCCCAGCGAATAGTGATCTCCTTGGGCACGAGGACCCACACGTTGTCCTCTAGAATCTCCAGCAGCATTAACGCTGACTTCGTCGTCTCTCTCTGGCGAGGGTGCACCACCCTCGACTGACTCAAAGTCGTACTCCGGCTCAAGTCCATCCACTTGGGCCAAGATATCAGCTGCAACCCTTTCTTCAATACTATGGTCTGCATCCCTGACGGGCTCACGTCCCGGAATCTCATCCAGATGTCCAGCACCGCCGTCATCGACCATCCCGTAGCTCAAGGGCTCAGGAAGTCTCTCACTTCCAGTCCCTTCCACCCTCTCTTCTGCTTCGTAACTCGGCTCCATCCCAGAGCCTGCGGAATCCATGGCGCAGTGGTAGGCGCGAGGTCTTGGGCTCATAACCTGCTCATCACAGATGAAGCAGGAGAG